ATATAAAGGTCTGGAAAGACAGACACCAAAGTGCCCGGTAATTCTCGTGCTAACGGGGATTCTGGCTGTTCTTTACTGACCTTTGCCTGCCCACGTCACATAATTTCCTACAGGAGGAACATCGGTGTTCCTCCGGCAATTAAGAGAGCAAGGCTGTGATCGAGACGAAGCCGTTGGATGCCCGAGAGGCGCTCGGGAGCCATCGGCTCCGCAAGGCTCGTGGCCCGGCTCCAGCCCCTCACTGTCCTCCCCGCCCCCCACCTTCTCGCTCGGAGGGACGCCTGCTGTTTGTCTCCGTGGGCCGTGGGGACGCGTGATGCCTACGGAGCCAGCTCCCGGCAGGGCCCGCCTGCTCCGTTAGCACCAGCCCGGCGCACACTGTCCCCGAGGACAGCTCGTCTCCAGCTGAAATTTCAGACTCAATTAGCGCGGAGACAGGCTGGAGCGGCTCCTGAGCGCTAGTCCTCGCACCGCTGCCAGACGGCGCTTCACCTGGGACGTGCCCGGGAATTTTCAGGTTTACCCCTTCAAGTACTAATAAGAGGAGGCAGCCAACCAGCAACTTAAAATTCAACTTGAAAGTGATTTTTTTGAGGTTCCTTTCCACTAATGGAAGGAGCTGGGGTGGGAACGAGACGGGGAGGATGGCGGGGACCGGGGAAAGAAACCTGGCAGGCCTAGAAAGCAAAGCCTAATTATCCCCGAGCAGACGGGCTGGGGGTGGGGGGCCGGCGGCAGGACGGCTCGTGCTCGGGCTCCGCTCCCCTCACGCAGCCTCCAACCAGCGGCTGCACCTCGCGAGGGGGCAGGTGGAATGGAAGCGGCCCACCCTGTCCTGTCAATGAAAGCTCCCCCGCTGTCTCCCTGCCAGTGGGGGTGCAGGAAGGGATGCGGGAGGGGGGTGCCCACAAGCAAGGAGTCTCCCGCTTCGTCCTCCATCCCACAGACCTGAAGGCTCGGCCCCCTCCCCCTTCAAGTTGGCGGAGGCTCCGGATCTCGTGAGAATCCTGGTGGCTGAAGCTGTCGTCCCTTTGAGGGTGACCTTAAAAGGCTCTCGATTTAGCACCGGGCCCACACCCTGCCGCCCGGTGCGATGGAGACTTTCACATTCACGCGGAAAGATCATTTCGTGCCTGCAGCTTCTCCGTCAGTGGTGTGAAGTGTGAAAACGCCACTCGAGAGCGAAAGGCCAGTTCCCAGTTTAGTTCGGGGGGAAAATCTGGACAAACTTGCAGAGCTCTGTCCTAACAGTCACCTGGCTGCACCAAGCCGGGCGGAGACGCAGCTGCAGGGCAGAGCTGTCCACACCCCGGCTGGGGACACCCCTCGGGCCATCTCGGACGCCCGTGCACCTGGCAGAGCGGGGACACGGCCCTGTGCTCTGCAGCTGCGCAGTCACTGCTGTAGAAGACCCTCCCACTGGGCCCTCGGGTGCACAAAAGGGAGACACCGCACGCCCGCCTGGGACGACGCGGGTCTGGGCCCTCGGGTGCACGGCAGGGAGACACCGCACACCCGCCTGGGACGTGAAACCGGCAGGCAGTCGATGCGGAGCTGGTGGGGTGATCACCTGGAGATGGCCTGGGTCAGCCTGGGCCAGTCTGTGAGGCCCGCGCACCGACGGCCGCGTCCTCTCTGCGAGGCCCCAGAGGCCGGCCCCAGGACCCCAGGCTGCCCGCAGCAGGCCTCCCGGCCGCCCTCTCCCCGTCCGGAACTCGTGGCCTCCATCTTGGCCAACGTCAGGTCAACACTTTGAATCGCAGCGGCGGCCACGCGGCGGTCTCTCTCGCAGTTGCCTCCTGTGCTCCAAGCACCCGGAGGCTCGGAGCCCGGCCACCGCCCTTCAGGCTCCTCTTCCCTCTGCCGGCCTGTCGCTGCCTCTCTGCCCTCTTGGGACTGGGGCGTGAGGCTGTCGGACACCGGGAGGCCTTCAAGTTGACTGGCCCAACCTTTGTATCTTGTCCCCTCTTTTAATTAGGGAAAGTTAAAAAAAATCAGCAAAACAGAATAGCACACACCACCCACGTTCCAGGGCCCGGACTCAGTAACGATCACCTCGTGGCCAATCTTGTTTCCGGTAGGAGCCCCCCCCAGGTCCCCTCCGTGCGTCTTACAGGAGAGGGAGGGTGGTAGAGAGGGGGAGGGGCTTGTCTGGCTCCTACATGGGGCAGGAGGCCAGAGGGCAGGCCCTGGCCCCTACAGGCCGGCCACCAGTCACTGGCTTGCCCCCTTCATGCTCTTCACTAGAGCCACACTCTACATGTGTTATTATTTATTGAACATTTTCCTTCGATAGTCACCTTTTTTGCCTAAATACATCTGTTTAAAATGAAAACTTTGAATAGTTTTTATAAACGAGAAACGGGCATCATTTGTCACAAACAGACGGTATCACTAAAGACGACAGAAAAGCCCTGGCCGGTTTGGTTCAGCGGTTGGAGCGTCGGCCTGCAGTCCAGAGAGACCCGGGTTCGGTTCTCGCTAAGGGCACGTACCTCAGTTGCGGTTTGTCTCCGGCCCTGGTTGGTCGTGCAGGAGGCAGCCACTCGATGTGTCCCTTTCACGTCGATGTTTCTCTCTCCCTCCCACTCCATCTGAACAAAAACTGGAAAAATATTCTTGGATGAGGATAAAAAAAAAAGACGACAGAAAACAGCTGCTGACTCTAAGCAGAAACTTGCTGCCCGCGGCACTGACCACGATGGAAGGCGGAGCCGGCGGGAGCCGGCCGGTGCCGATGGGGCGCTTTCAGGTTTGTAGGGACAGGACGAGTCAAAGGCTGAGAAACCCCAGCAGCTCTCAGGGTGACTTACTGTTCCCACGATCTCATCCGCCATCAGCGGCTGTCTCTTCACATCCGACACCTCTGACGTGCGCTGTGGCCAGCTGGCTGTCACCACACGTCCCTTCACAGGAGCCGTGGGCACCCGGAGTCCTGCACGGGGTCAGTCTACTTGCCATTTAAATGTCTTCAAAAGGATGTGCAACAAGGAGACACAATGTTGTAACGGTAGCCGCCCCCCATCCACGGGCGATCCGTTCCCAGACCCCCAGTGGATGCCTGAAACCGTGGATAACGCGGAACCCTATTTACACTGTTTCCTACACAAAGCTGCCTAGATGACGTTCAACTTATACAGTAGGCCCAGTAAGATGAACAACAACATAATAAGATAGAAAATGACAACAATACACTGCGGTGAAAGGTATGTGAGAGGCTTTGGGGCCACCGTTAAGTAAAATAAGGGTGATCTGAACACAAGCCCTGCGACAGTCAGTCGGCTTGGGACCAACGGGGCTGAGTGACAAGTGGGGCGTGTGCGGCATGGTCATGCGGGACAAAGGGACGGGTCACATCTAGGGCGGATGGAGCAGGAAGGCTTTCGATTTCATTACGCTGCCCAGACTGGGGAGCAGCTGAAAACTTATGAATTGTTTATTTCTGGAATTTTCTGTTCAATGTTTTCGGACTGCAGTTAACTGGAACTGCGAAGGTGAAACTGGATGAGGGAAGGACCACTGCGTCAACCCAGTGTCCTCACTTCTGCACTGTCTTGCAAAGCGACAAACAAGTGTCTTAGAGGAGGGAGGACAGGAAGCTCCTTGCTAGTCAGGGAAGCTGCTAAGCGCTGAGGCTGGGACCCTGAAAAGGGACCCCCCCGTCCCATCCCAGACAAGAAGACTGAAGGCAGGAGACATCGCGAGCCCCCTCGGGACAGATGGGAGGTTCTGGAGCAATGAAAGGCTGGGGTGGCCGATCCACATCCAGGAGCGTCACGCAGGCCGGTGCCATGGTTTAACAGGCAGCGGGTTCCCCTCTCTTAGTGGTTCAGGCAGTAACGGTACATCGTGCAAGCGAAGGCGCCTGCAGCGTGATGAACCAGGGTATTCGATCCAAACCCCGCGGCATGGACACCCTGCACTCCACCACACCACCTTACCGGACTCCCCCAACCCGAGCCCACACACGTCCGTCACTGGGGGGCTCTTTAACAACCAGGTTGCTGGCCCTGGCCGGTTTGGCTCAGCGGTTAGAGTGTCAGCCCGCGGACCAGGGAGTCCCGGGTTCGGTTCCCACTAAGGGCACGTTCCTCGGTTGTGGTTGGTCCCCGGCCCTAGACGGGGTCGTGTGGGTGGCAGCCAGTTGATGTCTCTCTCACATCGAATGTTTCTCTCTCTCTCTCTTCCCCCTCTCTCCCTCACGCTCTATCTGAAGATAAGTGCAAATATATCCTCGGGTGAGGATAAACAAACAAACAAACACAATGACAACCAGGTTGCTGCCCGCCCGCCCCCCCCCCCGGGCATCTGACTCAGTTGGTCTGGCCCGGGCCTGAGGATGCTCTGCTCAGCACACCCGGCAGGGTCCTTTCCACCATCAAATCCCCTCCACCCTCCGGCTCCTTGCAGCCAGTGGGGGTGAGTGGGCAGCGCTGGGAGGGGCCAGACCAGGTGGGAACCAGCATTCTTTGGGCGCCTCGGGAGGCGGTGTCTGCATCGACCCTTGCAGAGAACGAGGTCTGCAGCGCAGGCCGGGAGGGAGAGCTCGGGGGGCTCCCCACCCCGCCCGGGAACTTCACCGGGAACTTGACTGCTTTGGATGTTGGGGGTCAAGGCCAGAATGAACTCAGCAGACTGGGCTGAGTAATATTTAGGTCGAGACTCGGGACAAACAAGCCAGGCACCTGTCACGTCTGCTCACGTGTCCCAGCTGGTGACACGGCGGGTCCCTCTCCCATTGCTGTGTGTTACTGGTTTAGTAAAAAAGCTTTTGTGTACTTTTTCCTCAACAGGGAGAATACATGCGTCAAGTGGCCAAAATGCCTTTGGAATGGACGCCTGCCGACGCTGCCCTCCCTCCGGAGAGCAGAAAGCTGAACACGTGTCCTCGGACAGACTGCTCTCCACACAGAATCACTACGTTTTTCTTCCAAAGGCCCAGGTTCACTCGCGTGTTCTCTGACCCACCGTAAAAGGAAACAGGAAACGCCTTGTCCTGGGGATAGGTTTATTGCCTATAAAAATAAGTTACAAAACAAAACAAAACAAGACACCCAGCATGAAATACACATGGACACAGGGCTCATTCCACCCACAGGCTCATGGAAATGACTCAGAACACGGGCCCAGGAGGGTCAATTCACGGCATCGCTGACACACAGAGCACGTCGAGTGGCTTCTCACACCGAGTTCTGAGGTCTCCTTTCCCCCACCCGCTGAAGTGCCCCAGCCGGAGGGTCTGCCCTTCCAGAGGCTCCGCGTCAGGAGCCCTGCAGGTTTGGGGGGAGAGCCCAGCAGGGGCGGGGTGGGTCTGGGGGGCGGAGGTCACTGCCGGCAGGTGTCGTGGAAGGCTTCCAGGGTTCGGAAATCCCGCCACGTGGGGGGAAGGCCGTCCTGCAGGAACTTCCCGCAACGCTGGCACGGGGCCTGGAACAGCTTTATGTAGCTTCTCAGCCAGGTCTGAAAAGAGAGAGGAAGAGGGGTAGGGACGGAGTGCAGCTCCCCGTCGGCCGGGCAGAGGGCGGAGGGCGGAGGGCGGAGCACCTCGGCCGAGCCTGCACAGAAAGCTCCCCGGATCTGAGCGGCTGTGCTCTGGCCCAGCCCTGCCGCTCCCCGGCCCGAGACCAGTGTCCCTAAAGGAGGGCCACGGTGGGCCCGTCTCCGAACATGCGCACGGTCCTCTCCTGCTCGCCACCCGCAGTGGTCATGGACACGTGCGGAGGGCGACTTCCCATCGATGGCGATGTCAGAATTCTCCACTGAGGTCAACATGGCTTCTGTCTAATCGGATTCCCGGGGTCATCACTCACTGTCACTGTGAGGCCCAACACACCTTGGGGGGGGGGCACTGGTGCCACCGTAACGTAATAAGCGGCAGAGACACCCGGGGGCAGTTCAGATGCCGAGTCCCCGAGAACGTCATGCATAAGGATGAGACTGTAACTCGATTCCCAGCTCAAGGAGAGTCCTGCACACCCAGCCCAACCCCAGCACAGCTGAGCGCTCACTGCCACGGGCTCAGGCATCTCGTCATTTATGTCCTCCTGAATCACATCAGCGAGAGAAAATTGTTCTTTGAAGAGGTCGGCCGAGTTTACTGATAGAAATCCTTCTCCATCACAACTGCCTTCACGGGGCAGCCCATGCCCCTCAGTACCGCTCCCCCTTCCAGAGCCTCTGCACTGGAGGCTTTTGTTTTTTCTTTTTAATTCAGTCTCCACAGAGACTGTCAAAAATGGCTAATGCCAACTCCATTCTAGGCATCGTGGCAGGGCCCTGGGAGCCCCCTCGGCAGTGCCCACACCAGGACACAGGCCCTGCTGCCTCGCTGCCCTGTGCGGAGCCCTGTGGCCCTGGGAGCCCCTCAGCAGTGCCCACACCAGGACACAGGTCCTGCTGCCTCGCTGCCCTGTGCGGAGCCCTGTGGCCCTGGGAGCCCCTCAGCAGTGCCCACACCAGGACACAAGTCCCTGCTGCCTCACTGCCCCTGTGCGGAGCCGTGCTGGGGGTCTGGGCCAGAAGCACGCAGAGGTCGATGGATCACTCACTCAAACTATTTATCCTTCAGTGCCGATCAAATTCAAATGCTCCCAAACCCCCAAGTCAGTCACCGAGGGGAAAGTGGGCACCACGGCGCATCAGGTTAGAACAAGTCTGTGTCTGCCCAGAAGCGGAGCCTGCGGAGGCGGCGGCGGCGGCCGCCCTGCTCCCTGGACACAGCACGGACCGCGTGCGGGCGGCTCTGCCGAGCACCTGTGTGTGCTCAAGCTCCCAGCACCGAGAAGCCAGGTTTGTGTCCTCCAAGAAATGGACCGTAGGCCCTCGGAGCAGCCGAACTGCCGAGGCAAACACGATCGGCTTCACGGCGCGAGTGGTGCTGCCCCTGGCCGCCAGCAGCTGTGCGCTGGCATGTGAGCCTCTGCGTGGCTCTCGCGGTGCTGGGGAGGCAGGCATAGCAGCCGAGGCCGGGCCTGCTGACGAGAGAGCCCGAGCCGCCCGGATGTGCCCTCGGCTGGTGGGGTCAGGACGAGAGAGCCCGAGCCACCCGGATGTGCCCTCGGCCGGCGGGGTCAGGACGAGAGAGCCCGAGCCGCCCGGATGTGCCCTCGGCCGGCGGGGACAGGACGAGAGAGCCCGAGCCGCCCGGATGTGCCCTCGGCCGGCGGGGTCAGGACGAGAGAGCCCGTCACTGGCCCCGCGCAGGCCAACTGGTGGCCGTGTGACATTCGGGCAGCACCGCGCTGATGAACTGGCTTTAGGGGGTGGAGGGAGCAGTCCTGACTTGTGCGTTTGCCGATTTCCATGGTGTAAGTACCCAGGTTCAAGTCCAAGCTACCAATGGTTGAACAACCAGCTCTCAAAACTCTGCGTTTGTTGAACAAGAGCCGGCAGGCGCCGAGCTGACCCCATTCTGAGCCCCAGCTCTTTCAGTCAAAGGACGAAATGTCTCGGGAGGAGTGTGAGATTTGCCTTGGTCACTGCCACCTGCTCAGCGCCAAGCACGGGCCGGCGCAGGCCAGAAGCTCAATACATGTCCGCTGACTCGGTCGATGCTGGACACTGCCGGAAGCTCACTGCTGAAACCACCGACTGTTCCGCAGTGGCAGGAACATACCTAATTAGCGGAAATGGCTTTTCCTAGATCCCTTCCCAATTTCAAGGACGCATTTTGACACCAGCCTACCTCCCACTGTGAGGCCCCAGCGTCGACCTGCCCGACGAGCCTCGCTCAGCTCTTGAAGCCACTTACCATGAAGGACCTGACCACGACATCTGGCATCTGGGGCAGCTGGTAGTGGAGCAGGGCAGTGGTGGCATGGTCTGTCACCTGGGCACCAAGGACAACAACGAGTTAGAGGCCACTTCAAACGAGCACAGAGAAAACAAGACACATGCACCCCCTTTTAGAGCACGAACAGCCCCTGGAGGAAAGAACACCTGAAATGAAATCTGAAGTATGGAAATCAGTCTGCGGAGTGGGGGCGGCGCGGGGAGGGGTGTGGGAGGCAGGAAAGAAGGCCCCAGGCCTGAAGGCGAGCGGAGAGTGGACCATCCCGGCGACCTGGGAGGAGCGCGGTCAGTGGGACGTGGCGGGATCTAGGCGGTCACCCGGAAAGGCCTCCCCAGCCCCGCCTGCTCCCGGGCCTCCATTCTGTCTCACAGCCTGTGGCCACACTGGTTCTACGACAGGGTTTGGGGATTTCGGACAGTCTGCCCCTGGACCTACTGCTCTCCCAGGGGCCTTGCCGCTGCAAGGGTGGCCCTCTCGCCAGCACCCTGGAGGCCGCAGCCACTGCCCGACGGCGCAGGGGCTTGGCAGCAGGGCCGGGCACAGCTGCTGAGTCCGGAAGCCTGCTCTCTGGGTCTCGGCGTTTCTGGGAAACGGGCTGAAATCTGATGACTTCACGGGCTGCTAACCCTGCCATCAATCAGCAAATTAACAGGTTCTATCTAATTTGATAGCGATGTTCAAACACACGATTTACTTGATGGTCCTCATTAGGGATCTTGCCATTACAAATGCTGTGGTTAAAAAGGAGATGAAACTTTGTGCACCAGGAAAACAATGGTCTGCCCGGTGTCGCCGCACCGGTTCCTGCCGCAGCTGAGAACTGCGCTGTGCAAAGGGCCCAGGAGCAGCTGAGCAGGCTGGTCGGGTGCCGCCAGAAGGGCGGGTCCAGGCTCTACGCTGAGCTGCAAATGGCCCAGAAATGGGTCCAGCTGCGGGTCCACACCCACAGCCAGAGGCCACCCCCGAGAGTGAGGACCAGGCTGCCCAGCCCACAGAAGGCCCGCAGACCCTGCGCACGTGAAGCCCTCACCTCCAGCCTGCTTCCTGTCCTCCGTCCTCCCTGGACCTGCCCCTGCCCCCTGACTTGCACGGCCTGCTGGTAGCTGGTGGGCACCACCGGATGATCAGCCTGTGGGGGCAGGGATCACACCAGCTCGGTCTGTGCCGTGTCCCCAAGGCCCAGAACATCACCTGGCATCGCAGGTGCTCAAGACATATTTGTTGAATAAAGAAATAAACGTAAAAATGCCCACTCACCAAAGGCCACATACCAGAAACACCTGCACTGGCTTTCCTGCAAACACAGCAAACAGCTCGTGTATCCAACATGCCAAGAGATTCTTACCCGGTGACTTTCAAGATAAATGGTGCTCCTTTTTTCAAGTGCAGAGACTGTTTTTATTTTAAGCATTTTTGACAGACAGCTTTCTAAAATGAGCCATGTTTTTTTTAAACAGTAGCAATGATAACTTGGCAAAATGGCGGGTGGTGAATGGCAGGATGGAATTAATTGCTACAAACCAGCAAAATGAGCAGCCCCAGTGGTGCCTGGGCTAAAACGCTTGGCTCCCCCCCACCTGGACCTTGCTAACCCCAGCAAGTGCCATTCTGAGCTGACAAGACACTCCCCGCAACCACATTTGCCTTATGAAAAAACCGTGTCGAGAGAGTTCCTCCTGTGCCCCCCACAAAGCCCTCCACCCCCCATCACCACTGTCACACAGGGGACCCAGGTTGGCTTGGTTTGGGGGTGCCCTGAGGCCCCCAGTTCTGGGTGTCCTCCTTTCCCAGATGTGGAAGGCCCACCTCCCGCCCGAGTCCCCTGGGATGAGCCTGGACGGCTGTTCCAGCAGCGTGAGCAGCTGGCCTGGGACCTGACTCCCCAGTCAGACTGGCCCCCAGAGGTCCCTCCAAGGCTGGGATGCTTTGTTTGGCTGCACAGTGTCTTTGCTTTTCCTTTGACAATTGTTTTATCCTCACCCACGGACATTTTTCCATTTTTGTTCAGATAGAGTGGGAGGGAGAGAGGAAAAGAGAGAGAGAGAGAAACATCGACGTGAAAGGGACACATCGAGTAGCTGCCTCCTGCATGACCCAACAAGGGCCGGGGATTAACTGCAACCGAGGTACATGCCCTTGACCAGAATCGAACCCGCGACTCATTGAACCGCTGAGCCAAACCAGCCAGGGCTCCTTTGACAATTTTTAACACGAATGAGCAACATTTAAATTCAGGAAACTTCACCAAACTCGGATTTCAGTTTCTACCGAAGTATCAGGTTGGGGGCAGTAACTGTGTGCCTGCCTCATGGGTCGTTGTGAGACGAACAAGTCCCACCATGACAAGCTGGCACAAGGCCTGGCTCCTACTCGTCACTGTGCTGCGTCCACGTGGCCACCACCGGCGCGGGCGCGGGAGGGCAGCCTCCGGGCGGGCACGCAGCTGCAGTGTGCCTGGCAACCCCGGGGCTCACACCCAGCCGGCTCCACTCACGCTCCCTGCCGGTCCCCTGCGGCGTCTGGAAGTTAGGGCCTCTCCCCAAACACTGCCAAGAGTCTCTGCCCCAAGTCCTGCTCGCTGGGTGCTGGCCTGGCAGACCTGCGCCCTTCCCCTCCGCCCTTCCCTGGCGGACTCTGGACGGAGCGTTCCTGCGGACCTGCTTAGTGACAGCACTGCCCAGCCAGGGGTCTACGCCGGGCACCTGGGCTTGTCCACTGCCCACACTCAACTCTGGGTCCTGGGGTTATAAGTCGTTCATCTTGAATCTCTCTGCTTCTCCCCACTCCCCAGCCTGAGCTCCGGGCCCCGCCTCTTCCAGCAATGCCACCGGGCAGCTACTTCCTCTCTTAGCCGCAGGCTTCTGCTCTGGCAAACGGAGGAGTGACTGACAACACCTGTCGCGGGGGACAACCGAGGCTTCAGTGAAGTAGTCTGTGCAGCCTGTTCTATAAGCAGTAGTGACCACTAAGCTGTGACTCGAACCCGGCCACTCACTGCCGAAGACCCGCTCAGGGCATGGGAGTGCCCTCCCCTGGACCCCAGACGTGTGGCCCTGGTCCTGCCTCCTCTCCTCTCACCTCTGCTAAAATGCTGCCGGTGCCCCCCGCGGTCCCGCCCAGCTCCCATCCCCCTCTGGGGCCAGTTCAGATCCCTGTGCTCGAGGGAGCCCCCTAGGACCCCGAGGACCTTGCCTCTGGGCTCGGGTCCCCCCAGGCTGGCATCCTCAGGACCCAACTTGTATAGCTCTTCTCGTTTAGTGTCAGTTTCCCCAAGTTGACCGTGAACTCTGAGAGGCCAGGGGCCCTTCCTGCCTCCTCGACACAGAGGCTCTGACCCGTGTGGACGGGACACCCAGGAAGACGGGCCCACGTGCAGTCTGTGTGTGGGGCAAGAGCGAGGCCTCCCCAGGTGGGCGCGGCAGACGGGAGCCAGGCACCCTGGGCCCTGCTGAGAATCCTGGACTCTCCACCTGCGCTGGGAGGTCCCAGGGCTCACCGTCGGGTTCCCGTCCTTCCCAGCAGGTGGGACCCTCCCCGCTAGGCCTGGCCCAGGTGCTGGCTCCAGCCAGTGCTGGGAAAGGGCAGTGGTGGTGTCACTGCATCTGGAGCCAGCGAAGGGCGAGTGTGGATCCCTGCCCCCACCCCCACCCCTCCGCCAGGTCAAGAGCCAGGCTCAGGGTGGACTCACGAGGTGGTGGAGCCTCTGGGTCCGAGTGATGGAGAGAGCCCAGCCCTCTGAAAAGTCAGGGTAGTGTGTAGTGTGAGCAAGAAATAAACTGGCCGTTTAAATCATCTGTCACAGCAACTCTGCTTCCTCTTCACGCTGCCCCAGCCGCCCGGGACATTCCCGTCCCATCCACGAGACGAACCACGTGCCGGCCAGGTCTCCTAGTTCAGCCGAAACGTGTCCCGTCGAGGAGCGGAGCTGCTTGAAATGTGGGCCGTGGGCCCCCAGCGCGGGCAGCAGGAGCTCCGGGCCCACCGCGACCTGGAGTCAGAGCCCCTGGGCTGGGCCCAGCACGGGCAGCAGGAGCTCCGGGCCCACCGCGACCTGGAGTCAGAGCCCCTGGCTGGGCCCAGCACGGGCAGCAGGAGCTCCGGGCCCACCGCGACCTGGAGTCAGAGCCCCTGGCTGGGCCCAGCACGGGCAGCAGGAGCTCCGGGCCCACCGCGACCTGGAGTCAGAGCCCCTGGCTGGGCCCAGCACGGGCAGCAGGAGCTCCGGGCCCACCGCGACCTGGAGTCAGAGCCCCTGGGCTGGGCCCAGCACGGGCAGCAGGAGCTCCAGGCCCACCGCGACCTGGAGTCAGAGCCCCTGGGCTGGGCCCAGCACGGGCAGCAGGAGCTCCGGGCCCACCGCGACCTGGAGTCAGAGCCCCTGGGCCGTGGGCCCAGCGCGGGCAGCAGGAGCTCCGGGCCCACCGCGACCTGGAGTCAGAGCCCCTGGGCTGGGCCCAGCACGGGCAGCAGGAGCTCCGGGCCCACCGCGACCTGGAGTCAGAGCCCCTGGGCTGGGCCAGAGCTGGGCCAGCCTGTCACCATTCTCAGGAGGGCTGAGATGCAGGAGGCTGCAACCGACACTGAGCACCAAGGCCCCTGGGGACTCTGCTACCAGAGGACGCTGACTCAGCAGGTCTGGGGCGGGGCTTCTGTCAGACGGGGCCCTTCCGACAGGTCCGGTGGTGCGTAGGCTGGGGAGGGACCAGGTTTCGAGCAGCAAGGTGGAGGGTCCTGGGCGCCATGAGGACAGGCCCCAGAGGGCAGCACAAACCAGGGAGGACAACTCTGAGGAGAGCCCAGAGGGTCAGAGCCAGCGGAGCTGTTCAAACTTCATGGGCGCTGTGGTGTGGGGGGCGGTGCTGTGCTGGGGGGTCCTATTTCTGAGGTGCCTTTCCAGGACCTCAGCGTCATTGCTGACTTACACCCTGCTTTCACGAGAGCTGGCGGTACGTGCGCCCCGGTCCCCGTGGTAACTGAGGACTGTGCTCTTCATTTCCCTGGAGGAGAGGAACGCAGACTCCGCGGGCGAGGGGAAG